AACAACAACAACAACAACAACAACAACAACAACAACAACAACAACAACAACAACAACAACAACAACAACAACAACAACAACAACAACAACAACAACAACAACAACAACAACAACAACAACAACAACAACAACAACAACAACAACAACAACAACAACAACAACAACAACAACAACAACAACAACAACAACAACAACAACAACAACAACAACAACAACAACAACAACAACAACAACACAACAAACAACAACAACAACAACACAACAAACAACAAACAACAAACAACAACAACAACAACAACAACAACAACAACAACAACAACAACAACAACAAAACAACAAACAACAAACAACAAACAACAAACAACAAACAACAAACAACAAACAACAAACAACAAACAACAAACAACAAACAACAAACAACAAACAACAAACAACAAACAACAAACAACAAACAACAACAACAACAAACAACAAACAACAAACAACAAACAACAAACAACAAACAACAAACAACAAACAACAAACAACAAACAACAAACAACAAACAACAAACAACAAACAACAACAACAACAACAACAACAACAACAACAACAACAACAACAACAACAACAACAACAACAACAACAACAACAACAACAACAACAACAACAACAACAACAACAACAACAACAACAACAACAACAACAACAACAACGACAACGACAACAACGACAACGACAACGACAACGACAACGACAACGACAACGACAACGACAACGACAACGACAACGACAACGACAACGACAACGACAACGACAACGACAACGACAACGACAACGACAACGACAACGACAACGACAACGACAACGACAACAACAACAACAACAACAACAACAACAACAACAACAACAACAACAACAACAACAACAACGACCAACAAAACAAAAGTGTCAGGTGCCATGGGAACATTTCACCTACCCCTCAACTCGGAACTGTCAACGGAGCTCACAGGGCCCCGGCACATCCGCCTCCACGGACACCAGCAGCACCTCAGCGAGCGGAAGCCCGCCACGGCGAGGGAAACTCGGCTTTGGGCCGAGGTGATGATTTGGCTGGGCCAACACCGTTTTGGGATCCCATTTTGGGGTAGGTGCACCACCCATTTTAGTCTATTTTAGTGGGGCCAAGGTGATGATTTATACCAGGGCTCCCTGCATTTCCCCTTAAAACATCACCCCCATCAAGGGACACTCACCTTTCATGGGCCAAAAAGGCGATGTTTGAAACCAGCCAAACGGGAAATACAGGGACGCCCGTAAACACCTGCCCAAAAAAGGGGGATATGGAACCCACCAGCCATGATGCCCTCAAAAAAAGGGGAATGTAGGGAACCAGCCTTCCTTGGAGATTGCACGAACTTCCGTTTTGGCCAAACAAGAACGTTCCCAAACTGCTTGTGAGCCACTAAACGGTTTTCAAAAGCATGGAGTCCTAGAACTCAAGCGCGTGACTCAACCCTTGGCGATGGGACTGCACGACAAGTGCCATCAGCCAGGGTTCCGATGTTTGGGGTTGGGGGAACCGATGGTTGGTGTTGAGGTTGGTTCCCTGGCTATGACCTTGCCTGGGTTGAACTTCCAAGTGCACCCTTTGGAAAACCCACAGCATGGCGACACAACCTTTCTGGAGGGTTCAGGAGTTACCATGCGCCATTTGGATTCTAGGTACTAGGGACACTATGTCTAAAGTCCCTTTCTCCCTCAGGGGATCAAGTTCGAGTCACCTTTCGGAACAGTAAACAAACCTATACAAGGATTCGACTCAACAACGATTACATAGAACTTGTTGGCTTATGTACATGGCATCCAGCGTACAACTAGGTGAACTATCGGTACCTCACCAACGCGAGATGGATCCCCAAAAAAAGCCAACACGCACAATCTAGCTGAGCCGGGGACTACATGATAAAACCTCTGGAACGGTTCTGGGAAATTTGGGTGAGCTGCCTTCTCATCCTCCCTGTTAGCGAACAGAAATTTCGAAGTTGCTCATGTCAAAAACAGTAAAATCTACAAGGCACATATATATATATATATATATATATGTGTATGTATGTATGTATATGTATGTACATATACAAAGTATTTAGATACATATACCTTACTCCAATCCCGAATCAACCTAATAGAATGCCTATAACCCTCAGTTCGTACTCAACCTCTTCAATTCTTTATGCCTGATCAATCACTGGCTCCCCAATCACCAATACAACGGCTCTGGGCTCATGTGTGTCAACATCAAAACCTGCTACCAAATTGGTCTATCCACAATCCATGGTAGAGAAAGATAAGGGATTCTTGCCCCACCTATTATGGCTGGGACTGTCCCATAACCTTCAAATACCTGGGTTTGCATTGTGGCTCGTTTTCTTGTTGTATGAGTTCGCCGGCGTACTGTATGGATTCCCTATTCTTCCCCTTGAACATCACTTGCAGGAGCAACTACTTTGACTGCTCCTGGGGGTTGTCAAAGTCGGCAACGGGGGCTGTTCCCTTCAGACTACCACTGAAGGGGTGAGTTTGATTGAGGCCAAACTCACCTGAATGGTGCTTGAATGATGTTTAAATGGTGTTTGAAGAGTGTGTTGAAGGCTTCAGATGGCTTTTAAGCATTGCTTGAAAGGCTCAGATGGGTCAACGCACCTCCCAAAGAGCTTCGACGAGCCGCAGCTTGTAGCCCTCGCAGCATCCCCGGAGCCCGGACCAACCCGCGGCGCTCGGTTTCCGCAGGCGATGCTGCGCCGAAGGGTATCGGGATATGGGACGCTAAGGGCCGGGTGCAGTGAATTTAGGAGTCTTGGGGAGGTAGGGCTGGGGTATCTCGGCGACCTTGGAACAACCTCCAAACAGGTTGTTGTTGTAGGTTTGCAGTGGCCAGTTGAGCCACCGATCTGCGGAAGATCTAGCCAAAACCCATGGTGTAGCATCAAGGGCCGCACATATGGCAAGAGGGAGGCAGTCCACTCCCAACCTTCTGCCCAAATGGAAGCAGCCGATCGGTGCTCAGAGGGGTTGGTTCAGTTGGGTTCTAACAAATGGGTTCCTTTCGGATGCAGCACACATTGCACTGTCTTTGGTGCAAGCTAGAAGCCGCTTATTCAAACCCTAGGGTCCCAAAAGGTTCCAGCAAAAACAGACACTGAGTGCGAGCCTTTTCTTTGGCGTCGCCAATGCGCGGCACTTGATCTAAGAGGTCTCAAGCTCCCTTGGACGCTTTGGGCGCCAAGTGCCGAGGATCTTCCACTTCCGAAGAACTGGCTCCATCTCATTCCTGCTTCTATATTCAAGAACAAGTATTATTTCCCCTGTTGTTTTAAAGGGAACCTATTATTATATCACTACTGCTGTTGTTCCCCGGAGGGTAAAACACACACAAATATGCTTGGCACGGGGTTTGGCCTTGGCTTGCATCCCGAGGCTGGGCGGCTGCGGACGGCAAGAGATGTAGTCATATCTTGCACCACGGGAAGAAGTCACAAAGTTGTTGTTTCTACTGTCCAAAAACGTGGCACCTCTCCACTGTTGGGGTGACCCAATGAAGGGTCCTACCCAAAAACGTGTACATAGAAAGGAGGGCGGATATCTGCACCTATTTCTGGTTGTGACTTCATTACTCATCTTCATCTACCCAGCTTGTGATCGTGGTTCAACTGCCTAAAACAAAGTACATGCTTCACGACTAAGCTTGTTTGAACCCCTATGCTCGTTCAACACCTGATCGCATCGAGCAAAGTGGCTCAGCAAACTCTTAGTTTAGCAAACCAAAGACATCTCCTACTTTGGAGAAAGAACGCATGAACTCAACTCAACCATCCATTATAGTGCAGAAGATCATCACAGACACGAACCACAGCTCAGAGACACTGTCGCTCAGGTAAGTATAGATGAACAGAACACTGGAATCAATAAAAAAAGAGCCATGTTAAAACCAAAGTCACCACTCAAGGGTCCTGCTTTGCACACCCCAACGCCAGTGGTAATCAATGGGGATTATAGGGGATCTACGCGGGCCATCCAAGTTACATACCCCGAGAGCCACCCTTATGTCGCTGGAGCATTCCCGTTTCGGGTGTGTAAGTAGGGCCTTGGAAACACCCGAGTGGTAAACGAACACAACACTAGAAACAGTAAACACACAAGCCCAGCTGTGGTACTTGTTGAGGATGGCGTTTGAGTTCAAATGTGTCAAAGCACCTCTCAAAGGAAGGTACCAAGGGACACCTAACATAGGAGCTAATAGTTTCTCCTTCAGAATGCATAGCTTTAGATGGTTTCACAAGTACCCCACAACCAATTCAAAAGAATCCAACATCTTGTGATATGGCTTAAGCCAAGAGGGGACACCATAAGCCCTGGAACCGAACACAAAGCCGCTCCGAGTAAATCGAGTAAATCGACCCCAAGCTTTCAGCTGGGGAAGAAGAATGGCTGGACGGCTGTTGAAGCGCCAAAATGGGTCCCTTGCTGCCTTCTGAAAGGACTAAGCGCCTTGGTTTTCTAGAAGAAGCAACTGGGGAAAGTTATTGAAACCATGGTTCCCTACTTCATGACTGTAGAAAGTCCCAAAGTCTGAACCACCGAAAAGTGATTGACTGCCTTATTTCTTTCAAGGGAATGCCATTATTGGAATCCGCAAGCATGGGGCCTGATAAACCGCGCTTTGAACAGGTCAGGACTCCAGGACCGGGCCCATGCTTGGGGTCAGATCTTCAAGAACCCTTCGGGTTTTCTGCTTGACTGATGTTCTGAGTGGATCGGCCAACCAAACGTCTAAGCTTGTTATGTTTACCCACTAAAGTCACTAAACTTGGTTTACTGGTTTACTGACTGCAGTGGATTGGCCCCAAAACCAAGAGTGTATTCGTTTGGTTCACCACTAAAATGGACATGGGCCAGACCCGAAAAGTGGCTAAAGCCCGGTTTCCTTCCGCATGGATGGGTTTCCGTCTGAGGCCTCCGGCGCAGGTTGCGGTGGTGGACGAGTCGAGGGCCCACTGGGTCAATGGCCACAGGAAGATGCGGAGCTGGGAACCGGCCTGGACGGAAGGGCTTGCAGCTGACCAAAATTGGGGCTCCATGCCCCAACAACGAGGAAGCCCCCGTCTTTTTTGTTTTTTCTGTTGGTTGCTTTTTCCGCAAAGCAAAAAGAACCCCCTCCCCCCCCCAATTTTTTTTTGGGGGGGCTTGCCTGTTTTGAGACAAACCCGAATTTTGGTTTCCGTTTTTTCGGCTCCCCGGAAAGGAAAAAAAAAAAGTGTGAAAAGCGCACCCTGAAACGCACAACACTCCCAGAAAATCCACTGCCGAGTGAGGCAAGAAAAACGCAGGCCCCCACTGGACCGGTTCTTTGTTCTGCCGAGATGACCCACAACAAACATATATGATCTACAGAACACCCGTTCTATGGGCCACGTTGCTCGTTTGCTCGTTGCTCTGTGGTAAGAATTCAACCCCTGCTCATTTGCTCGTTGCCCAAATCCAGCCAGGTACATTTACTGAGCACTGTCTATTTCCTGGGCGGTCAGAACCAGTCCCAGCCTTTTGTTCAATCCAATCTGCCCAACAAACCTTGAGCCCTGGGCGAAGTGAGAATCAAACCAAGCTAAAGCATGTCCAGCGAAGACTTGCCTTCAAAACCCATGGGAAAATTAACAAAGCAACTATATGCTGACCCGAGTGCATTCCGGATTGGTCACAAGTCGCTCGTTCCGGAAATGGTCCAGACCCAGGAACTCAGGGAGTGAGATACTGGAATGGAAGAAACTGGTCGCATGGCTGTGGCTAAACAAATGGTACCCCAAATAGCCCCCTTTGGTAAATTTTGAAACAAGGACCAAAACCTGCGTGTCCCCACTCAGGAAGTGCAAATGCTTCTGTGTAAATCTTTCCCATGGTTAAGGGAATCAATCACTGGAAATGCTTGAAAAAGCTTTGCCGGGTGACTCTAGCAAATGGAAGCTTTGAGGTAGCTCTGGATTCGCGAGCCACAGCCCCATGGCCCTATTATACAAATGAGTCTCTTGCCTGAGGATTTGGCACGTCGCTGTTGCTGGTGTGATTGTGACAAGGACATGGGCAAATCACATGTTCTGCAAAGGTAAAAAGGGATGTAACATAATCAAAAAAAGGGATGGTAACATGTTCAGGATTTGCGCTGGAATGCCCCCAATAAGCCATCCATCCTATGGTTTCCTAGAAAATCCCAAAACGGTTCATTCCCAACACCCGGACTCCGTCATTCTTTGCTGAGCTTCCGGTTCATTCTCAACACCCAGTCTCGGGCATTCACTACCTACCGCCCCAAATCATGTTTTCGGAGAATATAATTCGGGATGTGAGTGAAAACCTTTTTCTGGTGGTGAGTTTGAACCTGTGAAATAGTTTTTTGAGTCACAGCTTCAAACTTGCCAACAAAATTGTAGGGATATGGACCTGTAAAAGGGATGTCATCTGGTTGTGTTTTGATGTTTTTTGTTTTTTTTTTTTCTCTGGGGATGTGAAGAGGAACAATTGCTGTTTCATACTTCCATTTGATGGGTCTATATGGGTCCACATCCTATTCTTATCTTCCATTTGGTTCAGACCCCTGGATAAAATAAGAATATGTCCAGCAGTGAAAAAAATCCTTTTAAAACCAACAAGCGAAAAAAACCTTTCAGCAAATGGAAATTATAGTTATTGGACAAAAAAAAAATGGTTGCTTCATACGTCCATTTGATGGGTCCATAAGGGTCCACATCCCATTCTTACCTTCCATGTGGCTAAGACCCCTGGGGAAACAACATTTCCCGTAGTGTGAGAAATTCCTCTTAACACCAACAAGGGAAATAAAACACACAACACAAACAAGCACTTGGGAAAGCAGGTGGTAAGGGAGTAACAAAACCTAACATGGGAAACCCTTTTAACCATCAGGTGAAGTTCAATATTTCCAGTAGTGAGAAGTTCCTTTGCACACCAACAAGGGATTTATTTACCAAAAAACAACTTTTCAGCAAATCGTAGTTTTCGCCCGTTTCACCCCGTTTCACCCCTCGAAACAGCCTGCAGGGCGCTGCCGTGGGCGGCGCGGAGCCTGAGCCACAGCTCCGAGTCCAGGCGCAGCGGCTGGTCGTCCGCCACCTCGTAGCTTGCGGAAAAGGCAAAGGGGGGGGAGGGTGTTGTGGCTCATAGGAACCAGAACGCAAGGTGGTTTTGTTCTTTGTGAAATTAGATAAACTTGGACTTATGATGATTGCAAGGTGCTTTTAAGTAGTTTGTTCTTTATTTTTAAAAAACTAAAATAAACTTGGATTCAGTATGATGGTGGTTGTGTTCTTTGTAAACATACACAAACTTGGATTTATGATGATTGCAAGGTGCTTGTGTTTGAGTTGTAAACAACACAAAACGTTCACCCTTCCCTCTAATTGGTTTGGATTGGTGGTTTGGTGGTTCAGTAGGGTTTCCCATTTACCCTCCACACGACATCCCCAAACCACCAATCCAAACCACCAACGAAGGGTTGCCTGCAACTCGGATTGATTATGATTAGTTCACCTTAGATTCTGAAAAAAAACAACTTGTAGATGGTTTAACCTTGCATTTGTTGGCTCAAAGGACGCAAAAGGACACACACAAAAAAACAACAACGAAAAACCACAAAGCAGCTGTTCACAAGGAATCCCCAACCCAAGCGAATCAGGATTCTGAAAGGAGCATAAGAAAGCTCGTGGACAGGATGTTGCAAAATGGACCCTATTGCCGGTGGGGGGGGGGATGAGAAGTCGCAAGGAACCAATCAAGGGAACCCTCGCGAAAAAAGCAACTGAGGGTCTGGGGTCCTTACTGCTTGCCCGTCTAGTTTCCGCACGGGAAATAGGGCATCCTCTGTTTGTTGGTGGATATTAAAGGCAACGCCCAAGGTCGATTATAAAGTGACAATCTCGAAATTGCCCATGGTGCTTGAAAAGGGAAAATTCACTCCCAAAGCAATGCTGAAAACACCAGATGAAATCACCTTTAGGGCCCCCCAAAAAAACACACACACAAAAAGAACAAAAGAGAACTAGAAAAAAAAAGAACAACTTCTCCGCAAACCAAAGAGAAAACGTGCCCTGAAGCGCCCGCCTCTGCAAAGTGGCAGGCGATTTCTCGTGGATTCATTCCCATGCCCCAGGGCCCCTATTGAGGTTCAGGGGGCCAGCTTGGGGGGGGCCTAAGGACCTTGGCAAGCACGGAATTCACAACATGTCAATTCTTGTTTAGAGCTAGGTGCATGTATTACACATAAATGTTATCATGTGCAGATCATGCATTATGTTATATCATGTCTATCATTATAAGCAAGTTATGTATATTGAGCGTGCCTTCTTCGATTGTGTACACATTCGTAAGATGTTTACACACACGCATATATATATATATATATATATATATGTATATGGCAGTTGATCAATATTCCTGTTTCCGCAAAACGCCATCTTCGCGAGAAAAAAAGTTTCTTTCGCGAATCTTTCGCGACTCCATCGCCACGCCCTTTTGTTTGCAGCGTGCGCTCTGGAGCCATTGCGGCTGCTGCAGTTGTGCTTGCAAACACGGTAGCCGCAGTTCACTTGCGTGCAGTACGTAGTGTCAAGTGCAGGCAGTCACCGTCATTCGCCCTTGCCACTTGCGGTTGCCGGCGATGTGCGGAACCTTGCAACAAGCTCCCTGGCCTTTCGCCGGTCTTTCGCGAAACTTTCTCCAAAATTGCCCAGCCAACGTTTTTGATTTGCACCAATCCCAACACAGGCAGGGAATCAATAATGCAAGTGTAGGTGCTGCGTATCTCCCTCTCTACAAGGGAGCGGGGTCTGCACATATGTAAGTGCACAGGCATGCCTCCAAGAATTCAACGCGGAATCTTTCGCGAAAAAATAAGTTTCTTTCGCGAACTCCATCGCCGATCTTTCGCGGCGGGATTTAAGCCAAGACGAATGGTCACCGAATACATAACTCCTTGCAAGGACTTTTTGATCAACCCCATATGTATATATGTGCGTGTGTGACTATGCAGATCGTCTCAGGCTTCACTTTTGGACATCTACAAGATCTTATCTGCATGACCACAGCCGTGGCGGCGGACTTGAGGAAGCCCAGTCGCAAGGTTTTTGGAAAACTCAGCTTCCCACCTTGCGGGTTTCATGGGACACAGTTTGATTTCAACCAAGAAGTCAAAGTCTAAAGATCCGTTGCCCAGCGGTCAAGATCCAGGGCTTCGAATCCCACCCATCCAACCCACGAAAAGTGACCTGAGAACAAAGGGCTCCAGAAAGGTCGCCAGTTGACTCGGGCCCACGCCAGATTCTCTGGGTCCAGAACCTTCCTGGGTCCGAAAAGGGCGCGAAAGCTCGGCCCTGGAAATGTTTGCTGCTTTCTGCGGGCCATTTCTTGACATCGACTTTGCTGCTTAGCTTGTTGCTGTTTGTTCTCGTTGGAGATGACTCAACAAAGACACTGAAGAGAAAAAAACAAGGCCGCTTGCTTCTCTGAAGGTTTATCCCAACTCACTATGCGTGTTGCGATGTTCCTCGCTTGCAGCCTGCGGCCCAAGGATTGAAAGCGATCTGACGTTTTTCTGGTTGCCCGCCTAAGGCCTTGCTGAAGCGTTTGGAGGAAACCGGGGTGGGGCCGGGTCCCCGAAATCAGCTCCCGTTCCTTCGCAAAGGGGTTACTGGGTTCGGAGATCAGTCTCTGTCAGCACCTGGAGATCTTCAGGGAAGACTTGACTACTGGAGAAGGAGAAACTCGACTTGGATGTTTAGCCAACCTGGTTCAGCTTCCCTCCAACTGGTTGTGTGAATCGCTGGTTTGGAGACTAGGGGCGGTTTCTCTTGTGCCCCCTACGAGAACCAGTTCAACGCCCCAAACTACCAACTCAGGGAACCTGACTGGTGATGCAATTAATAACAACTTTCCGGGAACTAGCCCCACTTTGCCGCAGCTACAGTTACAAAAGGTGATGGACAACAGGTTGGGGAGTGTCTCCAGAATTGTGGACCACTTCCAAATTGATGTGGATTCTGTTGTTTTTTTCTTGAGAACACACCTCCATATGGGAAAACAAGCACGAAAAACAAACATGAATGCGTGTTTTGGAGCCCTGAAGCATGAGTGCCTGAGTACTTGAAAGGGGAGCTTCCTTTCATAAGTTGCATCTTCAACAGCCATACGGGGGTGCTTCTTTAGGGACCCCGAAAATGGCAGCTTTTGTTTTCATAAACACAAAATAGTGCCAGGGTACACTCACAAAGATCCTTGGTAACAGGCATCAACCATTGCGGAACCCTCCCCCTTCTTGGCCCTCATACGAAGAGAAAATTGACGTTGTGGCCTTTGACATTGATGTGCCCAATGCAAAACCGATTGACCTGCCGGATCCGCAAAAAAGGTGAAGGATTCCCTCAATGGGAATCCCCCCCTCCAAAACGAATCCATTGTTTATACTCACCAAAGCAAAGCTCACCTTGTTCTGGCTTAAAAAGGTGTTGTTTTGCAAAAACCACAAAAGAAGAGAAATCTCGGCGCTTCAGAATTTGGGTTCCAATTTGGCAGACCTCTTCCCTTGGGTACAATCCCCTGTCTGTGAGTAGGACGACCTGTACCGAAGTTGTTCATCTATTTTCTCCCCAAATGAAAACTCCGAAAATCAGCCCCTGGACTCGGGGCGTCAGGGTACGTGCCTTGAGGGCCCCGGGGAAGTGAAGGGAAGGACTAAACCAAAGGGGAGTTGTGCCATCTAGGTCCTCCAGTAGAGAGGTTAGAACAAGGGTACCCGATTTTTGTTTTTCTGTAGTCTATTTTAGCAGGGGCTTCCCCTCCCCCAAAAAAGGGGCACAGGCCCTTTTGGCGTCCATCATGTTGATTCATTCGCCCGTCCTAGGGGGGTTTTTAGGGGCCATGTCCTCCATTGAGGGCTCTGAATCCGAGGTTCCGAGGCCATTTTGTGGCTTCTTTTCGGGAATCCCCTTACGGCTCATACCAATACCCGGTCTCCGTCACTATTCCCGACCAATACCAGCAAGTTAAGTACCGCCTTCCCTCCCGCCAGCCTTCCATTTGCGTAAGTCCACTCGAAAAAAGTCCAGAAACGATAGATTCCCTTTAAAACCAACAGGGTGAAATCAAACTTTCGTCTGGAAGGCAATTGGACCCGTCTCGGTCATTCCCTATCGCACCAGCAAGTGTTCTTTTCATATTACCCCTCCCCCCCCCCAAACCCCTCCCTGCCCCCCAAACCCCTTCCTAAACCCCCCCCCCCCTCGCCCCACCTTGGGACCTTCAGCCCTGTAAGCCACGCCGCAAGCCGTCCGCCGCCCAGCGGAAGTCCAGGGCCTCCGCCACCGGCACCGCAGCCAGCGACGCCGCGGAGGCCTCCGCCACGTCGAAGCGCCTCGGGTTCGACGCGGACGGCCGCGCGTCCGCGGGGTCCCACCGGGGGCTGAAGCGAAGCCACCGGGGTCTAGCCCAAATTAGGGGAAAATAAATAAATATATATATATATATATATATGAGGAGGCTGCCCCAAAATAGGCGATGTTTTAAGCGAGAACCCCGTAGTCACAATCAAAACTTGAAATTGGGGAAAGGGGGGAAGGGCTTCTCTCTAAATGGGTGATATGTTTTGCGAGAAACCCCCAGTCACAATCAAAATTCGATCGGGTGGATTGGCCAAAAAAAGGTCATCTACCCGGGTTTTGATTGTTGCTCACCTGGGTACGGGACGCGAACTTGAGGGGTAACCCCGAAAATGGATGGGTGCCTTTTGGTTCCCCAGAGATCAAGGCCAAGCAGGGTACCCTCAACAAAGTCGCACACACATATACACACCATGCAAGGGCCGCAACAATTAAAATAAAATTGTGAGAGACTCTGAGTCATGATCGTACTGGTGAATGATTAGTAACTGTTGAGCCCCCTGAATTGGGTCACTATGGTACGGGGGCTGACCCACTAAGTAGGTTGTAATCGTGGTAACTCAAGCAGGACCATGATCTACCCAAGTGGGTATCGACCAAGACATGTTCGAACGAGGTCGCTCTGCCCCTTTTGGGAGCCTCGGGTGAGCCTCGGGTGAGTTGTCCAACCACCTTCAACTTTGGAGTCTATTCTCCGAGGTTTGTCGAAAGTGCGTTTGTGCTGTTTTCGTTCAAAGGGACACCCTTTTATGGGGTCTGCTTTTAAGTTGAGCCCCCCCCCCGCTCGTTGGTGGGTGTGGCTGTGTGTCTCTTGCGAGTGCTTTAGTTGATTGAAATGGAAAGCCATGGCACAACCTGTCACAGCCGCAAAGATAGCAGGCTTGCAAACGTCCAAAAGGGAAACACTGTTGCAGAAACCAGCAATTGTCAAGCAACACGTAGTCGCAATTCCTTGATCTTTCCTGCGGAACCAGAAGACCAAAAGACACAGACCTTTGGCTGCTGCTGCAAATTGATCATCTAACTTTTTTTGGTGTCAATGTGAGCACCAACGGTCGCTTGAGCCTTAGGAATCCTTACATTGTTTGTCTAAAGCTGCTGTTTTGCCGTGGATGACCACCCCCCCAAGTAAGGCTGTTTCGACCTTGCCACAAATCGGGGCTTCTCAAGGATTTTGGGACCCGTTTTGGCATCACTTTCAAAATGAGGCTTCTTTCGCACCGAAATGGGTACACGGGGCCATACTCATCTTAGTCGATGCAATCCTCCTTTTGCCAGCTTGGTTGGCAACCTGGTGGTTCTTGGCCCCTTTGCGACCAACTAACATAACCGTTGCCGTTTGTTGGTTTGGGGGGGGGAAGAAACAACTTCCCGACTTTTTGGGGGGTGTAAGCCTTCGGAGAAACGTGGATTTGGTCGACTCGGGCCGCACGATTTGGTTTTCACAAGGTCCCGAAGCCAACAATTTTTACACCGAGGAGCTTCTGTCCAGCTTGGTCGGGAAAAGGTCTGAGGTTTCGCTTGCCAAAATAAACCAAACCCTAAAAGTTCAAAGTCCAACTGGGGAAGTGAGAGGAAGCCAAAATGGGAAGCTTCTCCCTCCCTTCCCCCGGCCTCGCGATGTCGGGCATGCTGAAGAGGTCCGCTGCGACAGTTGTGGGAGCACTTCTTCCCTCGAGCCGGTCCTTGCCACAGTGGCTGCAATTGGCTGCACAGGGAAGCCCTGAACTCAAGTGAGCGGATTGGCCAGAAGAGTCAAGCTTTAAATTAGATGCCTACCGCTAAAATGGTCCAACCCCAAAAGCGCACAAAGTCCAGGAACACAGGAAGTAAGTACAGACAGAGGCTGGGTACGTCAATTTCAGTTGTTGATTGCCTTGGTCAAGCAAGGACTTCCGCCAGGGCAAGTGAGGCATCAACATGGTTACTTGTGACTAAGCAAATATCCCCGGAGAACTTTCGCGCATGGACCAGCCCGCCCCCTTTTTCACCTTGGTGCTTTTGTGAGGGTACCCTTATCACCTTGGTTTCAATCGAAACCAACAGGACGAACCCTAATTTCTCACTTCCTGAGTGGATCGACCGGAAAAAGAAGAATAAGAAACACAAAACATAAAATGGTTCTCACTTCCTGAGTGGATTGACCGGAAAAAAGAAGAAACAAACACCACAAATTGTTTCTCACTTCCTGAGTGGATCGACCGGAAAAAAAGAAGAAACAAAAAACATAAATACAATCTCACTTCCTGAGTGGATCGACCGGAAAAAAAGAAGAAACAACAAACATAAAATGTTTCTCACTTCCTGAGTGGATCGACCGGAAAAAAGAGGAAGAAACAAAACACGTAAAATGTTTCTCACTTCCTGAGTGCATTGACCGAAAATTAAAAAAATGAAGCACAACACATAAATTATTTCTCACTTCCTGAGTGGATCGACCGGAAAAAGAATAAGAAACACAAAACATAAAATGGTTCTCACTTCCTGAGTGGATCGACCGGAAAAAAAGAAGAAACAAAAAACATAATATGTTTCTCACTTCCTGAGTGGATCGACCGGAAAAAAGAAGAAACAAAACACATAATATGTTTCTCACTTCCTGAGTGGATCGACCGGAAAAAAAGAAGAAACAAAAAACATAAAATGTGTCTCACTTCCTGAGTGGATCGACCGGAAAGAAAGAACAAACAAAAAACATAAAATGTGTCTCACTTCCTGATTGGATCGACCGGAAAGAAAGAAGAAACAAAAAACATAAATTTCTCACTTCCTGAGTGGATCGACCGGAAAAAAAGAAGAAACAAAAAACATAAAATGTTTCTCACTTCCTGAGTAAATCGACCGGAAAAAAGAAGAAACAGAAACACATAATATGTTTCTCACTTCCTGAGGGGATCGACTGGAAAAAAAGAAGAAACAAAAAACATAAAATGGTTCTCACTTCCTGAGTGGATCGACCGGAAAAAAGGAAGAAACAAAAAACATAAAATGGTTCTCACTTCCTGAGTGGATTGACCGGAAAAAAGGAAGAAACAAACACCACAAATTGTTTCTCACTTCCTGAGTGGATCGACCGGAAAAAAAGAAGAAACAAAACACATAAAATGTTTCTCACTTCCTGAGTGGATCGACCGGAAAAATAAAGAAGAAACAAAAAACATAAAATGTTTCTCACTTCCTGAGTGGATCGACCGGACAAAAAGAAGAAACAAAAAACATAAAATGGTTCTCACTTCCTGAGTGGATTGACCGGAAAAAAGAAGAAACAAAAAACATAAATTTATCACTTCCTGAGTGGATCGACCGGAAAAAAAGAAGAAACAAAACACATAATATGTTTCTCACTTCCTGAGTGGATCGACCGGAAAAAAGAAGAAACAAAAAACATAAAATGTTTCTCACTTCCTGAGTGGATCGACTGGACAAAAAGGAAGAAACAAAAAACATAAAATGGTTCTCACTTCCTGAGTGGATCGACCGGAAAAAAGAAGAAACAAAAAACATAAAATGTTTCTCACTTCCTGAGTGGATCGACCGGAAAAAAGAAGAAACAAAAAACATAAAATGCTTCTCACTTCCTGAGTGGATTGACTGGAAAAAAGGAAGAAACAAAAAACATAAAATGGTTCTCACTTCCTGAGTGGATCGACCGGAAAAAAAGAAACAAAAAACATAATATGTTTCTCACTTCCTGAGTGGATCGACCAGAAAAAAGGAAGAAACAACAAACATAACATGTTTCTCACTTCCTGAGTGGATCGACCGGAAAAAAAGGAAGAAACACAACACATAATATGTTTCTCACTTCCTGAGTGGATCGACCGGAAAAAAAAAATAAACAACAAAAAAACATGTTTCTCACTTCCTGAGTGGATCGACCGGAAAAAAAGAAGAAACAAAAAACATAGTATGTTTCTCACTTCCTGAGTGGATCGACCGGGAAAAAAGAAGAAACAGAACACATAATATGGTTCTCACTTCCTGAGTGGATCGACCGGAAAAAAGAAGAAACAAACAACATAAAATGGTTCTCACTTCTTGAGTGGATCGACCGGAAAAAAAGAAGAAAAACCAAAACATAATATGTTCTCACTTCCTGAGTGGATCGACCGGAAAAAAAAGAAGAAACAAACAACATAATATGTTTCTCACTTCCTGAGTGGATCGACCGGAAAAAAAGAAGAAACAAAACACATAATATGTTTCTCACTTCCTGAGTGGATCGACCGGAAAAAAAAGAAGAAACAAAAAACATAAAATGTTCCTCACTTCCTGAGTGGATCGACCGGAAAAAAAGAAGAAACAAAAAACATAATATGTTTCTCACTTCCTGAGTGGATCGACCGGAAAAAAAGAAGAAACAAAACACATAGTATGTTTCTCACTTCCTGAGTGGATCGACCGGAAAAAAAGAAGAAACAAACAACATAAAATGTGTCTCACTTCCTGAGTGGATCGACCGGAAAAAAGAAGAAACAAAAAACATAATATGTTTCTCACTTCCTGAGTGGATCGACCGGAAAAAAGAAGAAACAAAAAACATAATTTGTTTCTCACTTCCTGAGTGGATCGACCGGAAAAAAAGAAGAAACAAAAAACATAATATGCTTCTCACTTCCTGAGTGGATCGACCGGAAAAAAGGAAGAAACCAAAAACATAATATGTTTCTCACTTCCTGAGTGGATCGACCGGGAAAAAAGAAGAAACAAAACACATAATATGTTTCTCACTTCCTGAGTGGATCGACCGGAAAAAAAGAAGAAACAAAAAACATAAAATGGTTCTCACTTCCTGAGTGGATCGACCGGAAAAAAATAAGAGACAAAAAACATAAAATGTTTCTCACTTCCTGAGTGGATCGACCGGAAAAGAAGAAGAAACAAAAAACATAATATGTTTCTCACTTCTTGAGTGGATCGACCGGAAAAAAGAAGAAACAAAAAACGTAAAATGTTTCTCACTTCCTGAGTGGATCGACCGGAAAAAAAGAAGAAACAAAAAACATAATATGTTTCTCACTTCCTGAGTGGATCGACCGGAAAAAAAGAAGAAACAAACAACTTAAAATGTTTCTCACTTCCTGAGTGGATCGACCGGAAAAAAAGAAGAAACAAAACACATAATATGTTTCTCACTTCCTGAGTGGATCGACCGGAAAAAAGAAGAAACAAACAACTTGAAATGGTCTTCCCACACGTACAAAGTCCAGGGACTTGGGAAAGTGAGTTTTGGGGGTCCCCCGATTTTTTCACAGACCCATAGCGGTTCGGTGAACACTTCCAGTCTATGGCTCTTTGCTGGTAGAGAAAATGATGGATCAAACAGGCAAAGAGGCTAAAAACGGTGTGCCTTCGGTCAAGAGTTATTGTTGGCTTAATTACTGGGTTTCCCCAAGTTGAGCCATTTCCAGGTGGTGTCCATTGAACTTTGTTGCTGTTGACCCTCAGCAAAAAGTTCAACCTTTCCCGGGTTTAATCGAAAACCCCTTGATTTCGCAAAAAAAAAAGAGAAGAAGAGTTGAAGTCTAAAGATCCAACCCAATAGCAATCAAGTGAAACTGCCACTTTGCCAGTCTCAGGCGAGCTGCCAGCAGAAACATGGTGACGTTCCCCGGCGACCGCTTCGTCGCCAGCGCCGTCTCTGTCGCACCGCGACCAGAGACGTCGGCGGCCAGGCAGTGCTGATCGGAGCTGAGGCGGAAGATAGCAACGGTGCCTCAGAGACCCGTTTTTGTTTGGCTGTGGGACAAAAATAGGGTAACCCCAAAATGGCTTGCCCCGGTAAATGGAACCAAAGACTAAAACCTGCGGTCCCCTGGTGGCTTAATTTTGACCCACAAACATTTGTGGATGTCCACAACTAGGTCCTCCAGTGGCGAGGTTAGAATAAGGGTACCAACTTTTTTTCTGTGGGCTGTTTTAGTTGGGCACAGGTAAAAGGGCATTACCGGGGGACCTAGATAGGGTTTGAATGAACAGGCACTCTCCTAAAGAAGAAACACATTGATGTTTGGTAGTTGATGTGGCACGCATGTTTCTTGTTTTTTCGCGCTGGTTGATCTTCAATGGAAGCCTGACCGACAAAATAATGATCTGGAGGCAATCCTCTGGTCTGGGGAGGGTTTAGGGTTGCTCATTAAAGATCTCAGGGGAAGTACCTTAAGGGCCAAAAAGGGGGTCAACGTAGCAGGTGGGATTGTAGAAGTTTGAATACATGTTCGACCCAATAAGTTGCTGGGACTGTAGAAATGTTGGCAAGCTAGGGGATTCGATTCAGTCGTGGAACTTCTTTCCATGACCTTTTAGTGGGAGAGGGGTTGTCTGACATAGTTAGAGCCAGCCATTGCGACCTAGACTCGTGACTCATCAGCATTCACGGCTAAGGACCAAGGAAGGGCCCCAAACCTCCCATGTTGCTCCCTTGCTACTATGGATGGTTGCGAAATCCATTTCGCATTGAAACCATGGTTGAAACCGTTGTTCGTTGGTATTTGCAGGAGAATCGAATCATTCCATAGCCTCTTGGGCGGTGCAGGATTTTGTCCATCCACAGTATGGCTCTGAATCTTGGCATTAATAGTACCAAACGTTCGCTGGGAGTTGATCACCTCGACAGCTGATCAACCTGCTGGAGTTTGATAAATGTGTCTCTCGTAGTCGGACACCCCACCCAAAACAGCGGAGATTCTGCTTAATGAGCTGTGCTACTCATAGGATGGCACCCGCCCACTGCACTTTACCCCAAAAACAGTCACAGCTGCTGGGGGAAAAAATGCGATCCTGGCAGCATTGAAACATTTGTTTGACGGGTAAAGTTGGCAATCCGAGTTCATGGAACATCCCATCAAGTTGTTGGCAACATATTACATGGGATTTTGTGGGAATGGTCCCAACTCAACCCTATGCAAAGACCCTGTTGGGACTATCCCCTTGTCTGGTTGTTCGAGGCATCTCCGGCTTTCGGCCAGAGGCCAGGTTTTCTTGTGTCCGTTGCAAAGAGTGAATGAGCACTTGACCCGCGCAAGTGCTTCAAAATGCAAGGGACCCCCCCGCCATTTTTCCGGAGATGCATTTGTTCTCATTTTTTCGCGGGTACTATGTACCATTTTCCAATTTCCAAGGGAAACCAAAAGGATTCGTCGACGACAACCTTGGGCCCGGGACCCTACAAGACTCGCCATCGGGAAATGGGATGGCCTAGTCGGAAAGCCCACGAATGGAAACGAGAGATCTGGTCCGTGAGTGATATCTCTTTGAGAAATCTGCAAATGAGTGGTACCCTCTAGTCCACCTATGGAACTTAGAGGGTCCTTTCCTTTTACAGGAAAATGGTCTTCCAGGCCTGTGGGAAACACCCAAAGGAAATTGTGAGACCTTCGCAGAACCTTCGTGCATGGATGTAAGCAAATTACGACAATCCCAACTAAAACTGCGGACCACCCAAGCAAACACTGTGCAGGGGCAAGCTTGTCTGAAGCCAGCACCAGCGAGCTCTCAAAGAGACATGCCTAGATGAACGCAATCACCAAACATCTTTTAGACAAAGTTCACTGGTTTTCCCCTGATAAAGTTGCAACTTGCTGGTTTGCGGGCACGTCTCCTCGGAGAAAAAAGAACAACATATGTCCAGTGATAAATTCCCTTGAAACAAGGGAACATAAACAACATAACGTAGCTGGAAGGCGAATGATCGCGGCGCATGGCAGTAATCGTCCAAAGGGAAACAAGCCAGACTGGCCCCAACTCTCAGCTACAAGCAAAATAACAATTGTTCTGCTTGCTTAGTTGGCAGAATATGACGCATGTCAATCCTGGTTCAATCCCTTGAGGCGAAAAAGCTTAAGCTCTTGCACTGTTCAAGTTCGGTTTTGCACATGCCGGTTTGGTCTCCCCCTTACCAACCCCCGAAAAGTCGTTGACCCCAACCATATGACATATTTGGCTGTGGCATTCTTGGGGCTTTTTGTTGGGGAAACCAAAACGAAACCAGTCCACAAAGGGAACTCGGCTGGGTTTCATAGGGTAGAGTCCCAATTACTGGTTGACGTTGGAAGGGGAGCAAAAACTTATTTTTCAGCAGTCAAGTGCACTTGGATTTCCCTCTAAACCACAACAAGCAAAAATGGGAAAAATGTCTCCCAACAACAACCATGATTAAATGGCCACCCCCCCGAACTTGGAGGCCGACCCCCCCGCATCGATCCGAGAAGCAGCGCGCCAGGCGCGCGCAGAGCTCTCGACAGGCCGCCAAGCTGATGGCTGGGCCGAGGTCGCCCAAGGTGGCCCCGCCTAAGTCGAACTGATCGGATCCCAAAGGTCCGCTGGTGTTTGTTGAGCCGTTTGTCTAAAAAGCACAAGGGGGAGTCAACACTTGGCACACATCAGCGCGCGATGTGCCCTTTTGTGCAATTTTCTGATGTTCCGTGTCTATTGAGTCTACCCGGAAAGTGATAAAATAGTTTTGGCGGAGACCTCACAACACAACGATCTATCCGCTTTTGGCCTCCTCTTGCCAAGATTCAAGACCTATGTGGGCCTGTTGTCCAGTCAAGTTTGGGGCTGGGATGTTTGCATGAATCATGGACGGTCTGAAGGATCCGGAGCACAACCAGGAACAACATGTGAAGGAGCCCCAAGTGGTGGAGCTGAGATGACGATCCGGGCAACCTGTGGCGTAAGTGGTTGGGCCATCGCTTGTCAGTCCGCCAACTCCCCGGGTGAGCCAAGACAAAAGAGCAAATGACAGCTTGTCCCCCAACAAAATCATTCCAGCTGTTAGTTGCTTGGTTGAACCAACGTGTCAATCCAGCAATGGCGAAGGTTCGAAAGCGCAGCCCGTTGGAAGCCATTGTCTTTCGGAGGATTCCTAGTGAGTCGCCATGAAAACTTGGTATTCAGGAGGCCTAGCCAAACACAAGGCAAACAATAAGCAGAGCTGCAGGCAAGCTTCTTATTGTTGGTCCTTTGCTGAAGGAATAGTTTTTCTTGTTGGTGCCTTGCTGAAGATTGATTAGTGGGATATAGCGGGATGTGGCATGAATCATACGTCTCTGCAAACGCTGGACTACAGCAAGTCAAAGGCTAACCAGCAAGCTGTGGCAAGGGACTGGCCTCTACCAACTTCCAACTAAGCTTTGATTTGTCTTCATGGGCAAGAGCCGTTGTGCTTCCCTCATCCCAAACGCTTGGTTGACCTGCCCTTTGCTCTCCCTGTTGCATGCACCTGTACGAGCAACGGACATTGGGGTATCGGCTACTAGCAAATCGGATTTGGGCCCTCATTGGTTGCAAGCAAGAAACCGTTCAAGGGCCGCGATTTGAACTGGAAATCCACGGGCTCCGTAGTGTCTGAAAACCGAGCAATAGCATCGCCTTTTTGCCACCAACCAATCAAACAATGCCTAAGTATCCAACCAAAACTGAAAGGGTTTCAGTGGGAATTCCAACCCAACTTCCACTGACCTTGCACTTTGATATCTGGGTTGCTTTTGCACATGGATCTTGTGGGCGCCTCCCAAACAAGGATAAGTAAGTTATTTCTCCATGATGTTAGTCAAGGGCAACGTTGACCCAGTTTGGTGGTTCAAGGAAAACTTTCAAAAGAAGAAGACAACAGCTCTGGAGCTCTGCACAACTGACTATGGAAGCTTTCCTGAAGATTCCAGGCTCAAGCTTAGGCTCAGGCTGAAACGTGGACGCAAAGTTGTTGAAATATTCGCAATGGGTAGCGCTCGGGTTTTAGCTGGTTGAATCATCGGGCGCGAACCAAAACCCTAAGGCCGACAAAGGTGGCCCAATTGCATCAAGTAAAGAACATGATACATGTTGACCAAGCTTACAAACCTCATCTCACAAAAGCGATGGATGGTCCCCTTGAACTGGCATTCCGTATCATGACGGCTATTTGCAAGAGTTCTACTGCCCAAAAAGTTGCGCTTGTGCGAGAACATATTAATCTCCCCAATATGGCTATGGGTCAAAACCCCGTACCCCCAGTGAACGCCCCAATCCCCAACAAAATAGACTCAAATGGGTGGTGCACCTACCCCATGGTTTGACCCACAGCCAAATAGTTTTCTTGGTGAAAGATCCAACCGGCAATCAAGGAGTTCGCACCCCGGGTACCCAGAAATGGGTTGAGGTGGCTCAAATCGGTTCCGCGGGGCCCGGCATATTTGTGGCTCGCGGGTTTGGTTTCCCCGACGAGGTCGTGTCTCGTACAAACGCTCCGAGCTGCGAAGACGTGAGCTGGTTGCAAACAAACCCTCGTAATATTCCATGGCCCTTCCTTCGAGTAGAAATTGGAAAATTTCCACTAAAGGAAATGCCTTCCAAATGACTAGTTCTTCATCTGGGTTTGTCTCTAAATGGGGGAACCCTAAAATGGGTGTTTTCCATTTCGCATCCCAAAAAACGAAACCCAGATTGTGGGTCCCTCAAAAAAGCACCCGCACACCCCCTATGAATAGTGAGGTTTATTAGAGAAGTGGCCAACACCTTCTCCCCTCTTGCTGAGGCGCTGGTGTACTTGGCCTCTTTCGGCTGGATTTGGGGCTCCGGCTCCGCGTCCGCGAAGATGCGCCAGTCCTGAGGGTCCGACCGGCGGTGTGGGCGGCACATGAGTAAGCCAAACCGATCCGAAGTAAAAAGGACCATCCTAGTTCTGGACCATCCGCCTCCTGCCCAGGACCATGTAAAGATTTGAAAAAGGCGGATCTGCGCCTTTTATTCTCGAATTTCCTGGGTTTTGATTGTGACTCACATGGGAACGCGGCAAGAAGGCTGCAAGTTGCCCAGCAACGTGCCTTTTGCTTCCATCAGAGCAATGTTTTGGAGAGATTCGGAGCAGGGTCTCGTGCACAAACACGGTGTGGGCACAAGCTAGCTCCGGAAAGCAATTGCCACCAGTTTGGCAATGTTTGCCGTGTTGTACCAGCATGCAAAGGCATCCAGCAAACAATCAGTACGAACATTGAACTTGGCAGATTTGGCCTGTTTAGAACATGACCCAACTGCGTCTATATAGAATTGATCTGTCTCATTCCTGCACTCTTCTCAAATGTGTCCACTTTGCCAGAGCCCGTCAGAAGCTTACATCTGCCATATTCGCCAACCTGAATTCGACAAAAAGGGCCTTCACGGTTGTCTTACCCCAGGTCGGTGGGCTCGCTATACTTGGATTGCATGGCAAGTTCGCAAATGATTCTCGATGTAATAAAAGAGTTCCCTTTTTGTCAAAAGGACACCGGCGTGGTGTCAAAAAGGGGCAGACCTACGCTCTTTAAGATAATAGTCCGCACCGAAATAAAACCACCCGCACGCGCGGTACCAAGGAAAGCCCACTCGCTAAAGCGCCAAAAGGCACCTTTTGGTAACTCACTGCCAAGACTTGTCGCTAGAGTGCAACAAGACTTACCTACATTTTGCATGGCCCGTTGGCAATGTTGAGACGTTTTTTGTTGTTGTTTTTTTTACAAGGCCCTCTTGCTCGTATGGCAACCACATCAATGTCAACCATAAGATGAAGGCGGAACGACATGCCAATAAGAAGGATCGCTTAAACAGGGTCAATCGATGGATTGGCGTGGTCCATACAGTCCTCCATTTGCTTAAGTCCCCTGGAAAAAAATATATGTCCAGTAGTGATAGATTCCTTTTAAAACCAACAGGAGGAAATAACAAATATTCTTAAGCAAATGGAAGACACCGGTGTTGGTGCTGAGAATGACGGCTTCGCCGAGTTTGCTTCACCAGGCCGCGTGCCTCGATGAAACCGCACTTGCCCAATCAGCCGGTAGGAAAAAAAACTCTTGGTCTCACTTGAGTGGATTTGCCACAAGTCCAAACTTGTTGTTTTTTCTGCCACCAAAACGGTCTTCCCAAAAGTTTCAAAGCCAAGTCAGGGAGTGAGTCTTGACACTTTCGTGAACACAACCACACAAACCGGACACAAAGACACTGAACCTTAGGGGGTACGCCCATCCGAGTAGCATGCTCGCTGTGAAAGCTCTGGAGCAACTCCGTCATCATCACCACCTGTGGAGTTCACATCAGACCTCCAGAGTTCCAGAAGAAGGTACTCCTGGCAAAACAGGAAGATAAGGGTCGCAGTTGGTCAGTGCCCTGGAAAAAAGGGAGCCCTTTTTGGGGAAGACCACTTTTAGTGGGGCAGCCGCCCAAAAAACAAGGGAAAAAAGGGTGCCACTGAACAACTGAGGGGTAAAAGGATGGCGCACCTGGGTATACTTGGGGAAACCAAGACTTAGAACAGGAAAAAAAAGAAAGATTTGCAGCCTGTCTAGCACGAAGAAACCAAAGACCCCCCCACGCCCAGCCGGGAAAGCTTCTTAGAACCTTCTTCCGTTGGTACTGACAGAGCAGCCAACATTGGCCGGCAGGGGAGATATTTCGTGTTCGGCAAAGAATCGCTCTCCGCGAGCAATTTCTCTGCAGGAGGATTCGAGCCAACATCAGGTGCCACGTGTGAACTACTGTGGATGGACAAATTCCATTTCGCACCACTCAAGAAAAAATCTGGAAGGATGATTCCCCTGTAAATGCCAACGAACTCCGGTTTCCATGGTTTCTGAGTAGCGCGAAATGGATTTCGTCCATCCACAGTATGTCACCCAACCAAGTCGACTGGGTGTCCCTCCGGCCTGGTAGCGCGCGCCAGCCTTCAGCCCGGTGTCCCCAAACACGATGCCTGAGAAGCCGCGCCGGAAGCAACGAAAACACGGCTCAAGAAACCCGTGTCGTCTTTTTCCAACGAAGAGGGGTGCAACCAACGAATCAAGGCACCATTCAAGTGACCTTTGATTCTTGAAAGGGGTTGCAAGACACACAACCTGAGAGAAATGACCGGTGATCACCTTGCTTTGAGCCGATCAGCAAAATTAACAAGGCCCAGGAAAGTCGGAAAACTGGTAACATGCAATCATAAAAATCATACTCACAATGCATGCAAAATCTTGAGACTAAAGAAATGGGCAACTCGAAAAGTCAAAAGCTTCGCTTCTAAGCTTTGCAAGGAGCCAGCTTTGTGCTGTCGAACAGTTTCCCGACACGTGCCCCCAATATAGTACACAAACGACTTGGCGCCCGCGTCAGAAGATTCATGGCGCGGCAAGTTCCAGGGATCCCAAGCGTGTGTGCCAAACTACCCAGAAAATCGAACAAACATCAACTCGGTTGCTTTCTGCTCCCCTGCTAACAGTTTAACTTTTAGTGGTTTAATGGAAAACCCATGAGTTGGCAAAAAGTTAAAGTCCTAACATCCAAGCAAAATGCACCAAAGTCAACACTTGCTATTCCCTGTTTATCTCACAAGTAGTGGGGTTGACTGTCAACCAAACCTTTTGTTGAAGGGCGTATCCTCTACCAAAACAACACCGTCACCGCCCCGAAGGGAACAAGACAAATTTGGGGACTTGGGGGAACACGCAACTGTCTAGTACATGGTTTGGATCGCTTTCTGTGGAATATCAAAATAAGTCTTCCTCCCGTGTGATCATTTCAGAGGGCTGGCTAGGATGTAATTCTGTCCGCCACAGGCGACATATGCAGTCTCATCCCTCCGGTTTGTGGTTGACTGTTTGCAAGACCCCGAATACCCCGAGCACAAAATTGACCTCTGGTGGAGAAATGGAACCGTCTATTGGGTTGACCAGTGGTGCAGGGAAGCTCATCAAACAAGGAAAATCGGCCTCCAAGGCCGGCCTCAAAGGCCCCACTTTCTTCGGCAGATGGTGGACTCTCACTGCGCACATCGCCACGAACAGCGCGCAAACCAGCTTTGGAGAGCGACATGTTCAAGTCCATGAACGCGTTCATCGCCGCGCGCGTGCCCATCGAGTTGTCTTTGTGTCGGGCCGCCTTCGATAGGGCGCTTTTCGTATATCCGCACGGTGCCACCCGCGACCTCGCTTGCGCCGAAATACTCTGCGCCGTCCAGGGAGCGAAGGCGCAAAGCAAGAGCCGAGGCACAAAATTCCATGAGTTCCGTCACCATGGATGCCTCTTCTTCACGTGAGCCCGACAGCTTTGGGGGTCAAGAATGGCGCGTTTTCCCAAAGCTCGTCCAGTGACTTTACTCTTTCGAAGGCACTACAAAGAAGGGTCCCAGGAGTAGACACCGCAAATCACAATGATGGTGCCCAAGAACCAACAACCCAGCTGGGCCATTTTGTTTGTCATCCTGCTCATCTTTCCAAAAAACAGCAAGCCCAAGTATATTCGGAGAATGTCAAAACATGTCGGATGTTGGAAAATGGCATCAGGAGATGGGCACCTGGGGGTGCATACAGTTCCCTCTACTCGCAGAACCTTTTATTTTAAAGGTTCTGAGTTGAGAACCCGGTTTTGAAGCACAAATCTGCGAGAAAAGGGTTCTTGTCGCAAGAACCCGGCTTTCCAAGACAGAACCTTTTTTTCCTTGTTGCATGCCAGGTGCGTTTGCAAGCACGGTCATGCAGAAGCGGGCATGGCTGCCCAACAGCAGCAGAAACATGTGAAGGCCAACACAGCTGGCGCGACAGCGAATCAGAAGTCCGATAGTCTCGTATTATCAACGTTATCGGGGATCGAACACGCTTTTTTCCCTTTTGCTGCCATGGCCAACGAGATGGTCTGCCGGACTCACAGGCTCCGGACCCAAGACCTGCCAGAAGAGAGCACGGTGATGCAATCGGTGCATGACTCGTGTGAAGTTGCATGTTTGGTGGCAACGCAGCTTTTTAGGGCCCGGTCAGCTTGTTATAGCTTTTGTTTTGTCACCCCATGGTTCGCCCAAAAGAATCGGGGTGTTTGCCGACGGATGTCAACAACCTTGCGTCCGAGTGGGATAAAACCGAATCGATCAGAGCACGGATCCGCTCTGGTGGAGATTTGGTGGATGAAAATACAAAAGCCAGCTGCACTGTCAAGACCATCAAAAAGAATGCCGCCGTTTTGGAACCCATTGCGAAGAGGATGGCTGATCAATTGTGGAAGCTCCCCGCGGTAGACCCCTTGCGCCAGCAAGTGCGTGACCTTTACTTCATGAACAACCAAACAGCGAGTGAGGACTCGATTATCAGAGCAGGGTGGCAAATCCGGGAGCATCTGTCCAAGCTGAAGCGCAAGGCTCACCGATGCGAAGTTTCGCAGGACCGCCCCAAAGAATTCGATGTGCGTTTTCACTCCGAAAAGTCGTATGTGTGTGTGTGCGTGCGCTACCCTGAAAAGCCAGGCATGTTTACTTTATTTTCTTTGTAGGGTGCATTCGGATTGGTATCCCGCACTCCTTTGCAGGATCCAGATGTGCAACGTCTGTGTCTCATCCTCAACCCTGATGCGAAGGACGCAAATGCATGTGCAACCGTCACTACCTCACGCATGTTGTTTGGCAGGACGCCATAAAAGAGGTGAACGAGCAATTGGAAGCAGCGCGAGCCCGCGGTGCCCCAGAGGACTGCCTACGCGCTCGATCAAACTTGTGGTTTCCTTTGCCTTTCAACCATGCATTTTGTTTTGCCAGCCAGGAGCTGGATGAGGATGCTTGGGATGATGATGATGGCCCTGATCCCGATGAGCCCCACTACGAGGTTGAGCCCCCAGCAGAGGATGCAAAAAGCTTGGAGAAGCCCGAGAAGGCCAATCAGGTTGCCTCCGAAGTCCGGTCCCCAACTTCAAGCACAACTGCTGGTAACTTTGTCCACAGATTTGTCTTTCGATCCTGCTTTTCAAATCCTTCCTGGTTCCAACAGCATGTCAGTATTTTCCTCTTCTAGGCACGCCAAGCCCGGCGGAGTCCCTTCGAGAGAAGTTGGAGCTTGCCCAAAAGAGATTGGAGCAGTCAGGGCCCTACGTTGCCGATTGCTGAGCTGACCAATTCCCAGCACCATGTTTGTTTGGGGGCGTAGCACGTGTAAAGCCGTAGTTTCCGAATCGCTGTAAATTCAGGGTGTTCGCAGAAAACAAAAACACGCTCGTGGGTTCCAACAAGAGCGGGTTCTGTAAATCCCTGATAACGAGCCCAAGGATTCGCGCGGCCAAAGCGGCCACAGCCTCGATCAGCTCGTTGGAGCCGAAGGCCGCCTCAGGCGTGATGGGGTGGAGCTCTTTTGGCTTGGCCAGTCGCAGTTGCCCTATAGACTTTCTAGCCGGGGTAAAGCGCGTTGTATCACTTTGGGATGGTATGTCAGGATCGAGTTAGGAAAGCTCGGCAAAACCGAGTGGTGTGTTTTTTGGATCGACGGACACCTGTATGTGTGTGCACGTGTCTGCATGACATGGTTGCCCTTAGACGTGTGCAGCTCAACCGCGTGTGTGGGCGAGATATTCCCGCAAACACCTTGGCAGGTTCTGCTGTCATGGATGCAGAAGAGACCCAGCAGATAAACATCCTGGCAGCCCCCAGCCCTACTGCTGCTGCGCAGCCGCCCATACCCTCCAAGAAGTCACCTACCCTGAGTGAGAAGCGTGAAGTTTTCCAGGGCAGAAAGCATCGAGGCACCCCGCTTGCAAAGGAAACCACCGCCGAGGGCAAGAGAAACGGGGGCCCAACGCCCGAGCTGCAACCGTGTGACCTTACCGAAGAGTTTTACGCAGTCGACATTTGGGAGCCCAGAACCTTTCCGACCTTTCCACCTGGCATTCATGAGCCGGAGATTGAAGAGCCAGTTCCCTTTCTGAATTAGCGATCTTTAGTTTTTGTTTAAACTTGACCCCGATTGGCAAAAAGCTGCCTTAATGCTGCCCAGGTGCTTACGCGCCGAGACCAGCTCCAGAAAGCAGCCTCGCAGGGCAAGGGCAAGAAGGACAAGAAGGGCAAGAAGGGAAAGGGCGAGAAGAGCAAGAAGAGCAAGAAGAGCAAGAAGAGCAAGAAGAGCAAGACGGGAAAGGTCGAGAAGAGCAGGAAGAGCAAGAATGAGAAGAGCAAGAAGAGCAAGAAGGGAAATGGCGAGAAGAGCAAGAAAGGCAGCATTGACAACGGCAGCATCAGCAAAACGAGCAAGGGGGATAAAGAGGTCTCAGCAGTGGTCGGCATCTTGAAAAACGGAAAGCGCAAACAGCTCGACGAAGCAATCTCTGTGGGCCAGGCAGTGAAGACGACCAAGAAGAACAAAAAGGGCAAGAACACCAAGACATGTGCGCAGGCGCCAGCCACCATGGCGCTTGGCAAGCTGGCTGTGTTTCAGAAATACAAGGCCATGCGGCGGCAGCACAGGGCAACTCAGGACAAGAGCAAGGCCTCGAAGAGACGCATCACGAAGGGGCAGAAAAATCACAATGCGCGGCAGCCGAAAAAGCAAGCAGCTCCCAAGAAGAAAGAAAAAGCCAAGAAGGAAAAGAAAGCACTTGTGCAATACACGATGAGCGATGAAGCTTTCGAAACGATTGTGGATGAGATGGCCCTTGCGTGCAGCGACGTCAAGATGACAGGCTCAATGGATTACTTCAAGTGGACCGTGAAACCCTTGCTTCACAACATCTCCGAAGGCTTCGCGTGCTCCGTCTACTGGTCCAGGGCGGCATGTGGGTTGGTCGACAAGATCAGCTCTGTCCAATCCAGCCTTGCGTACTTCCAGTTCCCCGGGACGCCGCACCCGTATTACAGCACTATGCTTGCTGTGAAATGCTGCTGCATCCTAGCTCCTAATCTGAATTGTTTGGTTTCGTTTCAGTCGGAGACGGAGAAGGAAACTGAATTGGGCACAAGTCGTTAACGACCGTGCTTTTTGAGCCATAGTCAAATCAAGAGGGATTGGAAAGTGTTTGGCGCTTGTGGCAACTTCCCATTGACCTCCAGCCCCAGAAAGCCAGTCACTTGCAAGGCTCAGCTCATCAAAAAGCACGCCTGGCCTGAAGTTCCCAAAACGGCCGTGGCCAGCTTGAAGGAGTGCGGCTGGGTGGTCGCTGGGCGCCTGGCTGACGTGGACTGAGCCGATCTGATGGCGACATTTTTCTTACAGGGCAAGGTACTTGAGATCGCACGGGGTCAAATCTTGCAATCTTGCTTGCCGTTAGAGGCCGGCGTTTTGAGAAACACGCGCAACAACAATTTTGCCTTTACTTTTCGGTTGAAAGCTGAACCAGTTACCAACGCGCCGGCCAAGGGAAGCTTGGTCGCAGATTCGTGTTTGCAGTAGGCTCTCCTTGCCCATGGCTTTCGATCTAGAAGCTACTTGCGGTTTCGACCGCCGGAAAAAGTTGCAAAGCAAGCGGCCCCTACTCCTGATACCCGTTTTCTCGGGGCGTGTCGAAACGCCCTTTATCCCGAAGAAGTGGATGTTGCACGTAGGGGGTGGGAAAGCTGATTGTGCAGGCTGCAAGCTCCCAAATTAAAGTTCCAACTCATGAGTCGTCCGGTCAAGGCGCGTCGGATGTGGAAAGTCCGGGTCGGCCTCCTCAAGCCCAAGAGCGCGCCTGGCATGTTTGCACGCATGTGGCTTGCTTGTGACTCATGTTCTGCACACAGTGGATATCCGTTTGCCTGCTGGCGTTTGGGAAGCCATTGGTATTTCCGAATAGTGAACAGCAATGGTTGGTTTAGACCAGCTGATGTTTGCCTTCAAGGCTCTTGGTGTCCCTCGCGCCACTTGTATGGAAACATGGTTGGAGCGGTTCCTGGAAATACTGAGATTCGACGAGCCACTCCGAGGAATTTATCCTATGTGTCCTTTTGGTCATCTTCACGAGTGACTTATATCATCTAGACGAGGCGGGGTCTTTCTTTACAAAAAGAAGTGCTAGCCCTTACCGCTGACAGGTGTATGACAGCTTAGAGTTCTACGCGGGCCTCGCAAACTTCACCAAGGTTATGCGAATGACCGGCTATACTGCAGCTCGTTTTGATGTCGAGTACCATAAGCCACCCCGGGAATCGTCGAAAAAGAAGACCAGACAGAACTTCATGGACATAAACACACCGGCTGGGCTAGCGCTCCTTGGTTAACAAAATGTTTTTAGCATGAGCTGACCCATTGCGTGCTCATTGTCAATTAATGACATGCCCGACTCAGATTGGCG